ATCCATGGGAAAATTCAAGTGGATGAAGAGTATTCATTTGCCTGATTGCAACATGTATTTAAAAACACTCTATAGAGTTTGTCTTTCAGTATGTATGTGGGGGGACGGGCAGTGCAGATGGACAGAGGTTGAGGCAAGAGTTGAATAGGAGGATGAAAAGATGGCTGAGTGGTCTGTGGGAAACTTCAAAACTTCTTTACTGAGATCCCCCCACTCCTCATGAAAACAAAGGGCCATTTAAAAAAAAATACGGGGGGCGGAGTCAAGATGGCAGAGGGAAAGCAGTGACTTATTAGAGCTCTCCCCCAAACCCCTCCAAATACCTATAAAAAATGGTTCTAAACAAATTCTAAAGCAGCAGAACCCACAAAAAAACAGAGTAAAACAAATTTCCAGCCCAAGACAACCTGGATGGTTGATCAGAATGGTATATCGCGCCAGGCTGGGAGAGGAGCATAGTTCGGCTTGGGCGTGCAGGCCGCAGCGACCCTGGAGCAGGCCTCAGAGGACTGAATCACAGGCAGCTGTGGCGGTTTCCCTACTTCTCAATCCACGAATGCCAAGGACAACTTAGAAGGTCAGTGGGAAAAGTCTGTGTCTGCGGTGAGAGAAGAAGCTAGGTCTCAGTCGCAAGTCCTGAGCGTGGCCTCTGGGGCAGCGGCTGCCTCCTGAGCTTTCAGCCCACAGACTAAGGGGGAATCTAGTGGCTGATCAGAGGGGGATTGCAAGGATCTCTTTGCCAGGGCTGAGGCAGGAATCTCTTGCTTTACCTGTGCTTGGATCTGGGTCACAGTTCTGAGAGGCAGTCATAGGGCCAGGAGGAGTGCTGGCATAGTGGAGCTTGTAGTGGCTGTGGAGAGGAAACACCTGGCCCCTTATCATACCACCTTGGAAGAACTGAAAATTTACAGGTCCCTAGAAGTACCTCTGAAAACAGCTGTACAAACCCCCAAAGTGTGGGACAGTACATTCTCCACATTGGAAACAGACTCTTACCTTAACAAGAGTTTAAAACTCAAGTAATTGGTTGGGATCATGAGCAAGTAGTGCAAAAAGAGTCAGACTATATTATCTTACTTTGGTGACAAAGAAGATCAAAACATAAAACCAGAAGAAGAAAACAAAGTCAAAGCTCCTACATCCAAAGCCTCCAAGAAGAATATGAATCAGTCCCAAGCCTTGGAAGAGCTCAAAAGGGATTTTGAGAAGCAAGTAAGAGAAGTAGAGGAAAAACTGGGAAGAGAAATGAGAGTGATGCAAGAAAATCATGAAAAGCAAGTTAACAGCTTGCTAAAGGAGACCCAAAAAATACTGAAGAAAATAACACCTTAAAAAATAGCCTAAGCCAAATGGCAAAAGAGGTCCTAAAAGCCAATGAGGAGAAGAATGCCCTAAAAAGCAAAATTGACCAAATGGAAAAGGAAGTCCAAAAGATTACTGAAGAAAATACTTCCTTAAAAATTAGAATAGAGCAATTGGAAGCTAGTGACTTTATGAGAAATCAAGACACTGTAAAACAAATCCAAAAGAATGAAAAATTAGAAAACAATGTGAAATATCTCATTGGAAAAACAACTGTTCTGGAAAATAGATCCAGGAGAGAGAATTTAAAAATTATTGGACTATCTGAAAGCCATGATCAAAAAAAGAGCCTAGACATCATCTTTCAAGAAATTATCAAGGAAAACTGCCCTGATATTTTAGAACCAGAAGGCAAAATAGAAATGGAAAGAATCTACCCATATCCTCCTGAAAGAGATCCCCAAAGGAAAACTCCTAGGAATATTGTAGCCAAATTCCAGAGTTCCCAGGTCAAGGAGAAAATATTACAAGCATCCAGAAAGAAACAATTCAAGTACTGTGGAAACACAATCAGGATAACACAAGATTTAGCAGCTTCTACATTAAGGAACCACAGGGCATGGAATATAATATTCCAGAGGGCAAAGGAGATAGGATTACAACCAAGAATCACCTACCTAGCAAAACTGAGTATAATTCTTCAGGGGAAAAAATGGTCATTCAGTGAAATAGAGGACTTTCAAGCATTCTTGATGAAAAGACCAGAGCTGAATAGAAAATTTGACTTTCAAATACAATACTCAAGTGGAACATGAAGAGGTAAACAGGAAAGAGAAATCATAAGAGACTTATTAAGGTTGAACTGTTTACATTCCTGCATGGAAAGATGATATTTGCAACTTATGAGACCTTTGTCAGTATTAGGGTAGTTGGAGGGAAAAAATTATATGTATATAGATAGATAGATAGATAGATAGATAGATAGATAGATAGATAGATAGATAGATAAAGGACACAGGGTGAGTTGAAGATGAAGGGGTTATATTTGGAGAATAAAATTAAGGGGTGAAAGAGGATTATACTAGGAGAAGGAGAAAGGGAAAGGTAGAATGGGGTAAATTATCTCACAAAAAAACAGAAAAGAAAAAACTCTTACAGTGGAGGGGAAATGGGGAAAGGTGAGAGGGAATGAGTGAATCTTATTCTCATAGAATTTGACTTAAGGAGGGAATAACGTACACACTCAATTGGGTATGGAAATCTGTCTTACTCTACAGGAAAATAGGAGGGGAAGGGGACAAGAGAGTAGGGGGATGATAGAGAGGACAGCAGATTGGGAAAGGGAGTAATCAGAAGCAAATACTTCTGAGGAGGGACAGGGTCAAAAGAAAGAACAGAATAAATGGGGGGGGCAGGATAGGATTAAATGAAATAGAGTTAGTTTTTCACAGCATGTCTACTATGGAAGTGTTTTGCATAACTGCACATATATAACCTATATTGAGTTGCTTGCCTTTTCAATGAGGGTGGGTGGGAGAGAGGAAGGGAGAAAATTTGGAACCCAAAGTTTTAAAAACACATGTTAAAAAAAATGTTTTCACATGCAACTGGGAAATAAGAAATATAGAAAATGGGGTACAGAAATCTATCCTGCCCTACAGGAAAATAGAAGGGGAAGGGGGGTAGAGATATCAGGGAAAGCAGACTAGGGGAAGGGGTATTCAGAATGCATGCCATCTTGGGATGGGGGGAGGAGTGAGATGGTGTGAAAATTTGGAACTCAAAATCTTGTGGAAGTAAATGTTGAAAACTAAAAATAAAAGAAAAGAATAAAAAAAATGCAGATGGATAAAGTAGGTACTTCATGTGAGCCACAGATTAGAAGAGGAGATTTCAGTTTTACTGACTGTGTTACTTGAGCATATACGTGAGTGTTACACCTGTGCCCTACCCTAAAAACCCTGAGTGGCATTTAATAGGGAGTGTAGGATTCAGTTGGAGGTTAAGAATGAGCTGGGGAGAGTTGCCTTTAATTAAGCTGGCCTTGCCAATTACTGTGTTTTGTCCATAGCAGACACTCAATAAATGTTTGCTTATTATCAAAAAAAAAATACCCACACTCTGTTGGTGTTGCCATGTGACAATGAGAGAAGGAATACCTCTAAAAATTTTTTTAATGATTATGCCAAAGAGGACAATGGGGAGGTGAATGTTGGGTGTCATCAGGCTGGCCAATTAAGTACTCTACAGAACAAAATTAAAAGATACTTGGGATATTAAGAAAAAAAGGGATTATATTTTTTAGCCTAAGATCTAGTTAAGTTGATAATGGAGTAAAGTTTAGAGTGGAGGGTTATCTTTTTATACTTAGGTGTTCCACTTCTTTCAAGTCTCATCACACATTGTCTGTCTCTGTTTCTCTCCATATGTACACATACATACATACATACATACATATACACACACAGATATGTGTATATGCATATATACATACATATATATGGTATATTATATGTGTGTGTGTATATATATGTATGTATATATATATATATACACACATACACACATATGTTTGGCTCAATCATATTCTTTTAACCTACTGCTCCCCTTAATAATAAAGTTTATCCTCTGGGAACATGCATTGCCCTATAAAAGGCAGCACAATCTAGTGCATAGGAGGGATTAACAAGTCTCTAGCACAGGGCTCCTTAACCTTTTTTGCTTCATGATCTCCTTTGACAATCTGATAAAGGCTGTGGACCATTCTCATAATAATGGCTTTAAATGAAAAAAAAAATACAATAGGATTATAAAAGAAACAATTTGTATTCAAATATAGTTATCTATCTATCTATCTACCTATCTATCTATCTATCTATTCATCTATCTACAAGTTCATGGATCCCCAAGTTAAGAACCTCTGCTCTAGTGATATTGGCCAACCAATGCCAACCTAGTTAAAAATGGTAAATGATGATCTAATTAATAGCACAAAGTAAACAAATGCAATAGCAGGCAAAATACATTTCTAAAGATTCTCCGGGCCTCTCCACCCCTCAAGTACCTTCATTCTTTGACCTCATAAGACAAGAGCAACAATGTTCCATACAACTATTAGTTGTATACAAATAGATCACAGCACACTATCTATGGTAGACTGTTAATCTCAGACTGGCTTGCCCCAACCACTGACCAGGCCTTTGGACCACCCTCTCCCACCATTTGGTGGTGTATGCTAGGATAATAAAATTGTGCACAGATTCAGAGCTGGAAGGGACTTTGGAGATCACTCACTCCAAAACTTCTTCCCAACGCCATTTTAAAGATAATGAAACTGAGTCCCAGAGAAGCTAAATGAAGGTCCCTGGGGTAATAAGTGGTAGATCTGGATTTAAACTAGGAATCCTCTGATTTTAAATCCCCTACTCTGTTGACATGATCTATGTCTATCTTTCCTTTCATCTCCTTTTTGATTAAAAAAACAAAGATTAATTCAAGTATTAGCATAATCCAAATATCATTAATTAGGTGAATCTCTATCTTCTTTGAGAAACACAACATAAAAAACAGGACAATGAATACTGGACCCATCCCCTGCTTGGATTATCATGGATAACAGAAAACTGGCCCAATCTTCATTGTGAATGCCTTGAGTGTTTTGGGGGCTACTCTGTCCTCTCAAGAAAAATCACTCTTACCTTTGAATTTGTGGAACACAGCCCAGAGCTCGGCGATGTCGGTGGCAAAGGTGATGTCTGTGTCCAGGACGATGACTCGCTCCAGGTTGGCGGGAAGGGTCTTGGTCAGAACCAGCTTCATCAGGCCATATATCCCAGAGTAGTGTTTGTTGGGGATCCAGGAGACCTCCGACTGAATGAAAGGAGACAGAGGAAATGAAAAAGGGAAGGAGAACTCATTAGCTAGTAAACATCTGATCCATAAAGATGCCTGGATCTAGGGCTCAGTGAAGTCAAGTTAGATTTATTTTCAAATTTTAGATTCATTTGAAATGTGTTATATTATGGTAACACTCCTTTTGGGACTCTAAGCTCTGTCAAGGAGAAACTGTGGGATATGTCAATCAATTAAAAAACCAACTGTGTGCCAGACACTGCTCTAGGCACAGGGGATAGAAATAAAAAGAAGGAAACATAACTTCTACTCCCAAGTAACTTACATTCCATTGGAGGAAGGAGGAGAAAAAAAGTACATATATAGAAATACACAGTGCATATACGAACAGTATGTGAACATATACATATGTTATATACATATCCATATGTATGTATGTATATATATACATACAATATATATGTAAATTATAGAGGAGAGATAGAAAAGAAAGAAAGATGGGGAAAGAGAAGAAAAACGAAGAGCCGGAGCAGGAACAGGAAGAGAAGGAGGAACAGGAGCAGGAGGAAGAAGAGGAGGAAGGAGAGGAGGAGGAGGAGAAGGAGGATGAAGAAGAAGTCAAGGACAAGGAGGACAAGGATGAGGAGGAGAAGAAAAAGGAGGAGAATACACATCCAGAGATACTACACGCACACATACTCAGCACACACCACGTGCATGCCCACACCCTTACACACATGCACAATTTCTAACGGACGTTTGGAAACAAACTATGCCCAGAGTGAATCAAAAGTTTGCAAAGCACCTTAGATGGGTTATTTCATTTGATCTTCACAATAGGAAGGCAGTGATGGGAATTACTCTTCACATTTTCCAGATGAAGAGACAGGGGATGAGAGATGGGAAGTGACTTGCTTCTGGTGACTCATGGGCATCAAAGGTGGGTATTCAAACCCAAATCGTTCCTGACTCCATGTCCCTGGTCTTCACACGACACCACAGGCATATGGTGCGTTGCTGTGTTTCATATTTCCATGATCCTCTTATCTGTTTCCCCATGTCTTTTCCTTGTCATCAAAGGTCCTAGTAAGCATTATTCCATCTGCTCCATTCAACAAAATTCATTATGATTCTATAACCCCTTTTGTTGTTTAGAGGAAGGTAGGATTTGTAATCAGGAGATGTGCTTCCCAGCCCTGGCTCTGCTGCTTAACGTCTATGGGACCCTGGGGGAGATCTTCTATCTCTTAGGGTCTCATTTTCCACGTCTATGAAGTGAGGGGCAGGAAGAGCCGGCAAAGTGATCTCTAAGGCTGCTATTGATTTGGAATGTGATTTTATGGTTCCATAAGTCTATGGATATGTATTTGGGGTGCTGCTAGTTTCAGCAGAGGGCAGCAGAAAGCCAACAGAAGAAGAATCTGGATACTGACCAGTCTAGGATACCTGCTAAAACCCCAGGAAGGGGGATGGCAGAAAAGCAGAAGCCAGCAACACTTGCAGGACCTTGGTTCAACTTCTGACCTTCCCTCAAAGCCAAGCAAGGATTATGCATACAGGTGGCACTGAAGAGCTATTTCTCAAAATGAATGGATGGCTAATGTAAGGATAAATCACAGGATGACAGATTTAGAGCCAGAATGGACTTTCAAGGTGCTGAATCCAATTCCTTCATTTTACAAAGCAGCAGATGGGGGTTCTTGGAGCTTAAATGACTTGTCCATCTACACACCTGGAAGCTGATAATCTAGATGTGGGGGTGTTAGATAAAGTCAGGTTACTAAAACACACAATTTGAATAGGAACATCAGAGTTGTAGTGGAGTGTTGGGTAAATTACTTTGCATTGTGTATTTATTGATCTGTGTAAATGCTGCCCCTCCCCTCCTCCTTCCAATAGATTATAAGGTCCCAGAGGGCAGGACCAGGAGGTGTCCAAAACAGGACTTGAACCCAGGTCTTCCTGGCCTAACAGAGGATTTTTTATACAATTATTGTCCCTGAAAGCACTGGCCTCTGGAACTCAACTCAGGTCTTTTCTCCACAGAGAATCTTCTCCTGCCCAGGACTGGCATTCAGTAGGTAGGCTGTAAGGCTCTCTTATTCCACCAGCCCTTTGATTAACTTATTTATCTATTTTTGTTGCTGTCAGAGAAGAGGAGCTTAATGAAACCTGAACACAGAGTATTCCATTAAGCCCCCTAATTAGGAGGTCCAAATGATTTGGATTTATTTTAACACATATATAAGGCACTCTGCTAAATGGAAAGAAGTATGAATAAATGAAAATAAATTCATTTCAATATGAGCTGAAGCACGAACATCCTCCCTAATTTGTCTCCCAATCAGTTAAGTCAGATCGTTAAGTTAAAGTAAAAGAAATGGTGGAGAGTTTATGTTTACAGAGAAAAAAAAAAGGAACATGTAGCAACTTAGGCCCTTTTCGGTAAAGCGATATAGAAAGAACTGCAAAATCTCAGAGGTCCAAGGAACTCCCAGGCCAGCTAGGCCCACCTCTGCTTCAAAAGGAACCCCTTCTCAACATGTTGGAAAAGTGGTTATCCAGACTTTGCTTGAAATCCACCAGTGATGGGGAACTCACTACCAACCCAATCCAGCAAGCATTTATGATGCACCTACTATGTTCCTGGCACTGGGCTAGGGGATGCAAAAATAATAAATGGTCTCTACCCTCAAAGGCCTTGTGTTCTGCACAGATAAGTTCCAGTGGGAGGGAAGAGGAGAACTAAGTGAATCAGGAAAGGCTTCCTGTATGAGGTGACATGTATATGAGCAAAGTCATAAAGAAAGCTGGGAGTTCTAAGAAACAGAAATGAGGGGAAGGGAACAAGTGTTTATTATGTGCCAGGCACTTTGTAAAGATTGACTCATTTGATCCTCACAAAAACCCTGGGAGGTAGCTCCAATTATTGTTCCCATTTTACATATAAAAAAAAAAACTGAGGTGGATAGTGGTTAATTGACTAGCCCAGGGTCACACAGATAGGAAGTGTCTGAGACTGGACTTGAACTCAGGTCTTTATCCACTGCACAAACTGGGAATCCAGCCCAAATCTGCCATTTTACAGACAAGCAAAAAGAGGCCCAGGACCTTGCTGAAGGTTTTATAGATAGAAAATTAACTTAGAGGCCATCTAGTGCTCATTTGAACCCAGGTCCTCTGATTCCAGAAGCTCAGCAGATGGTGTGCTGGGCCTGGAGTCAGGGAGACCTGAGTTCAAATCTGGCCTTAGACAATTAACCCAATTTACCTCAGTTTCCTCATCTATAAAACAAGCTAGAGAAGGAAATGGCAAACCACTCTATATATTTTCCAAGAAAGCCCCAAATGGGGGTCATGAAGAGTCAGACACAACTGAATGCCTGAACAACCTGATTCCATTTCGAGCTTTTTTTTCTCCTGTGTCCCAATACCTTTGTTCCAACACTTTCATTTTATATGTGAAAGATATTAAGGCCAAGAGCTGTAACTCTTTCATTCCTCTTGGAGCTCTACCCCTGACGCTCTGAAGTTCTCTCTCTCCCCTACTCCCCACCACCCTGGATGATCACGCTGCCCCTGTGACTCCTCCCAGCTCTGATAGATGTTTTATATTCTAAGGCCCCTCCTATCTCTGACATTCTAAGATTTTATGAATGAACACTCCACTCTTTATTAATATATCAGAAAAGGCACATATACTTAGAATAGTTTTTAAAACTACAATTCTTTAAAGAAACAGAGTATTATCCCAGCTGATGACTATTAAGGAGTACAAATGGTCATCATTAGTAAAAGGCAGCCATGGGTAAGAATACAACTATTGTCATCTTAGGATGATTCATCATAAACCAGAGATGCTGACGCAGGACCAGGGCAGGTGAAGAGCCAAGGCTTCATTGATCTAGAAGAGTCTCCTTATCTCAGCTACCAGCACCATGCACTCTATAGAGGCCTGCTGTCTGATCTAAAGAGAGCTGAACGTGGTACCACTGGCTGTGCAGGGGCTTTTAATTCTGGGCCCTCACAAGCCACTCTGAAGCATATCTAGAGCTCAGCTGCCCCTGAAAAAGGCTTCTGGGGAAATCTGCATCCCTTCCCGCTTAGGTGGTGGTTCAGAAGCTGCAAGAACAGGCTTGATCTGTCCCCATAATCCAATACACCAACAATGGAGGTGTTAACGAGCATTAACAATGCCCTCACAAGCCAATCTTCCAGTAACTATGGCACCTTCTCTTTTCATTATAAAGAAAAGAGTGTTTGGTCCCATAAAACCAGGACTCTCAGGTCTTCTATTGTATTATCCAATAATAGGTATTTCCATTCCTCCCAACTATCCGTTTCTCCCACTATCTTCAGCCTCAACTCTCAACAGATGACAATATCCCATTTAACTTAGAAAGTCAGAGGATCACAGATTCAGTCAGAAGGGACCTCTGAGGTTATCTAGTCCTTCAGTTAGTCATTTCAGTCATGTCCAACCCTTCGTGACCCCCATCTGGGGTGTTCTTGGCAGAGATACTGGAGTGGTTTGTCATTTCCTTCTCTAACTCATTTTACAGATGAGGAAACTGAGGCAAACAGGGTTAAATGACTTGCCCAGGGTCACCTAGCTAGTAAACGTCTGAGGCCAGATTTGAACTCAGGAAGATGAATCTTCCTAACTCTAAGACCAGTACTTTGTGCACTATGGTGGTACCTAGATGTGCCATTATCTGGTCCTTTTTAGATAAGGAAATTGAGGAGCAAAGAATACCTAAATTCATACAGAGAATATCTGCAGAGCTAAGAGTTAAACCCAGGTCTGCTGGCTCCAAATCATAGGATTATTGCTCATGGAATCACAGTTGGACCTTAGAGGACATCTAGTCAAAACCTGGAAAGGATAAGTGACTTGATCAAGGCGATACAAGTAGCAATTGACAGAGATGGGATTATAGCCAAGATCTACCAGGACCTCTGCTTCCAAAGCCAGAGCCCTCTTCCCTGAAAACATACAGCCTAATTTAAAAAGAAAC